TTCTGTTGTATACCTCAGTAAAAGTTCTGCATAAGGGTTATATGCTGTGCTGCAATAGAACTTCTTCCCACTCATACTGTTAGGATTTTTTGGAGCTGTTTTGAACAAAACCTGTGGATATGTTTTCTCCTAAATGACCCTGCTAGCAGGATTGCATTTAGGAGCACAGATAGATGGTAACCGTACTTGAATGCTTCCCAGAGTTTCGAGGCTGCCACTAGGTTTTTATTTTCAGAAGAGACTCATTCTTTTGTTTTTCAAAGCTAATTCTTTCTTCCTGAGCATGTGAACTTCCAGTGATGATGGTTAAGAAGATACTGGGAGGAATCATTCTAGACGCTGTCACTCATTAGAAGAGGATTTTAATCTCAAACAAGAAAACTAGAACCTCTCAGTTTAAAAAAACAACAACAAACAACCCCCCAAACCCCTAGCATTTTAAAATACAGTTCTTACACTTTTATTTTGCTTTTATATTTGGTAGTTTTCTCAGTTTTTCTCACATTTCTCAGTAGATGTGTCCTTAATCAATACCTTCCCTGAGCAAAAATGGGATAAGTGTAATCTTATCCTATATTGTTTATAAACTTAAAATACAGCATTTTCTGCTTTGAACAGATAAGAAGTGTTATTTCATTGAAGCAAATGTATGCAAGCTGGGATCAACCCTTCTCATGTGTAACATTGCAGTAGCTTACCACTTCTGTTACTGGTGTTACTGGCTTCTGACTTTCAGAGCTTTCAGAAAATACTGTAGAAACAGAAAAGCTGTCTGTTTTGCAAAAACTCCAGTCATATAGTTTATGAAGTTACCCTGTTAGTTTGGAAATGCAGTCTCCTGCCTAGTGGTTTTGGAACATATGGAAACCTGAAGTGTTTGTGATTGTCATATCTTACTAAAACTTAAGAAACATAAAGTAAGACCATCCCTTTCTAAGGAAAGTTTCGATTTCTCTGATGATTATTTTATCTTGGATGTGCCACAGTTATTTTTGAGACCTATTCTGCTCCTTTTGAGTTCTAAATAATGTGTAAAACACAAGAGTGTGTATGCATGCATATTCATTTTTCCTCCTGTTACTGTCCCATCCCCTGCTCATTATGTGGATGAAATGGTACTTGGGACTTAAGATATTCAACTCTTACATCTGCTGGTAGTTAATGGCGTTTTATATGGTGAGTTAGCTAAAATATTGGTGTTTTATTTATTGAAGCTTTCTAGACTCTTGGTGGGAGTAAAGAAGCACAGAAGAAATTACTGTATAGATTTTAGGTTTTTTTTTATATAGACACTCTGTATCCTGTGCATGGCAGTGTTTGGAATTCATCCAAAGAACAGAAAATGTTCTGACTTTTGAAATCTCTTTGGAATGGGTGAGTGATTTTGCTGGTCAGATGAACTGTTGTTACTTCTGTGACTGTGCAGAGGGAATTTCTTCCACCTAGGCTATCTAGCAGTAGTTACTATTTGCTTCATCAAACAAGTCTATAAAAAGCATCTCTCTCTCTGTGCTTAGTAGTTGTTTTTTTAACTTTCAGGGATGAATTTCTGTTTAAGTTAATAGAAGCCAGTTTCACATTTGTAGTTCTAAAATGGCAAGTGTTCAGTCCTGTTGTAGTCTCTGGTGGTTACTGTAATTGGGGAGTCTTTGAGATCCAAAGGTCGTAGTGTTTGTGGGAGTAGTGCATAAACTGTTAAGAAGTATTTTTCTGCTGAGGAAATCATGTGAATCCTGTTCTGTTTTAGTTCTTGTATTTCAGTTGTGGGAGTAGTGCATAAACTGTTAAGTATTTTTCTGCTGAGGAAATCGTGTGAATCCTATTCTGTTTTAGTTCTTGTATTTCAATGTGAAATATCATTCCTAATCTAACGTCGACCACACTTTGTCCTAAAGATTGGTGAGGAATGGCATCTTTGGTTCTTTCAGAATGTTTTAGAGACTACGTTCTCTTGATATGGCCAGTAGCAAAACCATTACATTACTATATTTGTTGCGGCCCAAAGTAAGAGGAAAGTTAGGAATTCATTAAGCCTAATATAGTTCAGGGTAGCTGTGTGTGTCTAGAGCTTGTTCCCTGCCAACTTGCTGCATTCTGTTGGGTCAGTCGAGCTTTTACACTGCTTTTTTTCCTTGTTTCTTTTTCAATGACACATCTGGGTTGGTGTAGCTACTGAATCACAAATAGAAGCGAACATTGAGAGCAAAATATTCCAATTAGCTGTTTATTTTTTTCCACATCAGCTTTATTGTGTCCACAGGACACTTAAACAGCTTAATATGTATAACAAGTTTTAATTTATCTTCAGACAAAAATGTTAGCCACAGAAGTTTATCTAATTAAGAGGAGTAGTTTTCAGGTATGCTCTTTTTAGTGTTACTAGCTATGGAAACCTTTTGTGATTGCATTAGTTAAAAGGTTCAGGAGGAACATCTGTAGCTACTGATGCATTCCAGTTTGAGAGAATCCTATTTTGTAAGTTTATTGGTAGGGTCAAGTGGCACTCTTTCACAAGGTTTCTGCATTAGGTAAATTGTTTGATGTAAGTTAACGCGCTCGCTTGTTGCACGGCTTCTCGGCCTTTTCATCTTAGAATTTTGTGGTTATGGTAAAAATGCTTAAATCATGGGCTTTAAAATAGAGCTTTAAGCTGTAATGGTTGTCTACACTTCATCACTGTGCAGAGACAAAAGCATGTTAATTGATTTTCTTAAATTTTGTAATTTTGAGCGCCTGATACCTAGAATGAACAAACACTTGGTATTTCACAAATGAGTGGTCTCAGTGTGAAATGAAATAACTGTAGTTAGAGGTAAATTGCAGATCAAATGGATATGTTACAAATAGACATCCTTCTATGTGCTTTATTGGGTGGTGGTAATTCAGCCATACTGTACCTTAGACATACTTAAACCTCAAAGAAGTGCAAGGGAGTAAAAAGGCTGTGGGTTAACCTAAGGCAGCTAAGCCCCACGCAGCTGCTTACTCACTTCTTGCCCAGTGAGCTGGGGAGGGGAATTGTAAGGGTACAAGTGAGAGAACTGATGCGCTGAGATAAAGACAGTTTAAGATTTAAGTTTAATAGGTAAAACAAAAGCTGAGCACACAACTCTGCCCCTCCTCCCCCTTCCCTCCAGCTTTTATTGCTAAGCACAGTTTCTTATGGTATGGAATATCCCTTTGGTCAGCTGGGAGGCAGCTGCCCCGGCTGTGTCCCATCCCAGCCTGCTCATTGGTGGGGCGGTGTGAGAAGCGGGGAAGGCTTTGATGCTGTGTAAGCTCTGTTCAGTGACAGCACAACGTCCCCGTGTTATCAAGCCTCTGAGAGTCACAAATCCAAAATATAGCACCATGCAAGCTACTACGAAGAAAAGTAGCTCTATCCCTGCCCAAACCAGTATGTGTCAGTGGAAGAACTGAAACTGAACTACAGAAGTTAGATGGGTCCAAATAGGAAAAACATTTTGTTTAGAGTTTGGCAGCAAAGTTGACAGTGGCATGATGGGCTGACCTATTGGTAATGCTGGGGTGGTTGTGGTGTGAGGTTTTTTGGTTTGTTTGGTTTTTTGACTGCTGCCTATTGATGATACAATAAAAAAGCCTAATGCAATTGAGCCACATCTGCACCTACGATGGAATTATCCTGATTTATCTGCTGTCTGCATCACCTGATGGCCAAAGTTATAGAATGCCCCTAAATAAATACGGAGTGGAATAGCCATACTTCTCAGGGACTTCCTTACAGGGGGAATATCGAAACTAGAGATATAGAATGTGCTAGTCTATATAGTGTGTCTGTTGTGCTTCACTTTGCTTCTGAGAACTGTGGTCTAATTAGACTTGACAAAGAAGAAGGGATTGGAGATATAGACATAATATAAATGGAATCATTGGGATTGCATATCATACATCAGCAGTGTTCTTTCTTTGTCCATTTCTGAAACCTTTCTCAAAGCTACGTGTGTGCATGCCAGTTTCTTGACCCTTAATTTTAGCGTATTCTGGCCAGTCTCCATAATATTTGATGAAGGACTCAAATATGCTTTGTAATCTTAACTAAGCATGTTTCCTTTCTTCAGCATGCTGTGGGAGATGTGCCAATTAAACACTTATCAATGCTGATACCATAGAGTACATGTTGGTATGACTCAATGAGCTGCCACGTGTTTGTTAAATCATGCTGGGTGGCCATAATGGGATAAATGTTTAAATGTTAACCAAGGCAGTTCAGATATAACTACCACTTAGCCTGTCCCCCTTGGAAGTTATGTGTACACAGGCAGCAGTTATGATTTGGGTACAGTGGTTACAGGCTATGTGTCTGTTCCCTGATTTGTATTTCATGTCAGGGAGAGTTTGTTGTTGAGCAGTGTACTCTGAGCCTTTTGGCTTCAGGGTCAGTAGAGTGATGGCTAAGCTCTCAGTTGTTGAAGTGAAGTAGTTAATATATGAAGAAAGCATTAGTTTTGGAAAAGTAACATGATACCTGTTAATAGGTACACAACGTTACATTGGAATTTGAGAGCATTTACTTGTGAAAATAACTTGTGATTTATTTTTTTTGGTGACAATAGCCTGACCTATGACCTCAGAGAAAGAAATGATGGGTATTTTTATACCCATATACACATTTATGTACATTTTATACCCATATATACATTTTATACCCATTTATATACATATATACCCATATACACATTTATACACATACATATGTGTACCTCCCAAACTCTTAAGTGGTGCATGTCCATACGTATATAGATATGTTTATGTGTGTATGCTGATAATAACCCAAATATTCCGACCGTAAAGTATGGTAAAAAGAAATTTTTTCTTTTAATTATTTTAATTTTGATTTCTTCTTATTTTTGATTAACTATTTAACTGAAGTAAAGAATTCAACCTGCTCTAGGTGACCGTGGTCTGGCAGGGGGGTTGGACTAGATGATCTCCAGAGGTCCCTTCCAACCCTGACCATTCTGTGATTCCATGATAAGGCAATGGAAGTGTATGATAAGGCAATGGAGATGTACATTGTAAAGGTCTTTTACATAGTGTTCTATAGGTCTTGTTATGTGTCTGTAGTTTTCCTTCTCTCAGTTTCAATTTCAAGCAGTGACTTCAAGCGTCTGCCTCATGATTAAAGATGGGGTACAAAGCTGCTTTGTCCAATGGTACTGAAGCCATGCAAGGTTAGGTTAAGAAGTCTTGCGTCTGTCTTACAGGATCCAACTTCCTGGGTAAATATTCACCACCTGGAGTATACAGATGGAGGAATCCTGGACCCAGATGATGTGCTGGCAGATGTTGTGGAAGACAAAGATAAGGTAGAGCTTTGATGAAAATACTACTTCTGCTTTTTGTTGTGTCTTTTCAAATAACTAATGCTACTTTTTCATTTCTTGGACATCTGGCAGGTGAAGTAGGTATTAAATATTCTTAAATTAAACACATCTGCCTATAGGTGCTGTAGCACTGTTTCTGGAGTAGAACTGGATGGGCGGGGAAAGCATGACCAACGCAATGAAGATAATCAGAGGAGCCTAACAGTTGATTTAGGATTTAACCCTTTCAAGCAGCTCTGTGCTGCTTTTCATTGCTGGATGAAAATAGTGCTGAAGGAGTATGAGGTTTTGAAGACATCTTTTTTTTTTTTTATGCCACTTAAAATATCTTTTATAATGTCTTCCTTTGCTTAGAATTGAGTTTTTGAGAATCATTCAAATGTCATGGTTCAATATGTGTGACAAAATAAACAAATCCTGCAAGGACAAAACCAGCTGCCTCAGCTGTGTTAAATTTCAGGAGGAGTTTCTGTGATTTGCTACTGAAGGTCTAACTAAGCAGGCCAGTTGTTAACTTCAAAAGGTGTGAGTCTCTAACTTTCAATTCAAATAAGATAGATGTCCTTTCTGGGTAGAGAGATGGTAGCTGCAAAGAAGCCCCTTTTAATGTTTTTGTAATTATCAGGAAAATTCAGTTTTGGGAAACTTATTGGTGACTCATTTCAGCATAGAGTAGGAACAATATAATTTATAACACTTTGCTATTCTTTTTCTTTCTTTTTTTTTTCTTCATAAAATCAGAGGAAAAAAATGTATCTACTGACTTGAAACTGAAGATCCAAATGTGGGATATGCCTGTACTTTCAGACAAATAGATTTGTATATTTACAGTGCCATATGCTTGCTGGCTTCAAAAATAATTCTGTATATTGCAAACAGAAATACTAGTTTCGTATGCTGTTGATTGTTCAATGCCTTAATACAAAGTGCAACGTTTTGCTTATGATTAATGGGGTGCTGTTTCTCAGTACCTTAGAAAACTATATAAGGTGTACTTCAGTGTCATTTTATGGTGGTTTGTGTGGGAATTCTTAAAAACAATGGAGTTTTTTGGTATATGCTCTTTTTATCAAACTTGTATTTCTTGCTTGTCCATATTTACTGAAGGTGTACTTAAAACACCCTAAGACTTTTTTCCAGTAGTGTTTGGAGACTAAAGACTGGGTTTTGAGTATTGACACAGCTGTATATAAAACATAAGACCATAAGCATAAGATCTCATAAAATGAGATATCTCAGCAAAGGGAAATGCTTTACTGGTCTCATCAGTTAATAAAAATTAGCATGTGCCTGCAGGATTTCCTCTATTTGAAGTACTGATACAGGAACACTTAGGCAAATATAAGCAGTCATTTGCAGAATATTTGTTATATCATCCAATTATTAACTTTGCCTTTGCTATACTTTATTGGTAGGTGTTGCTGGTTGAGTATGTGTTGCTGATGAATTTTCTAGTTCACATGCAGCTGTAGGTTTAAGCATCTTCTGTTTTAACAGTGCTAGGTGGGACTCTAGTTCTGAGGCTGCCTTGAGGAAAAAAAAAAAAAAACCAGGAAACCATGATCTTACTCCTTGAATGGTCTGGGATGGTTTAGTAATACAGCAAACTTTGTTTCTCTCCTGTGATGTCTCAATTACGTGTGATGCATCACTGCCATCTTCTCTTCTTCAGAAGGCCCTGGTAAAACAGTGATAAGGAAGACTTACTGAACAACAGCAGCTGCGGTGACAAACCAGTTTTTTTGATTAAACTAGGGGAGAACTGTGTAATCATGTGGGGGGACTGCTGGTTGAGAGGTCAAATAATTCTTCCCTTTGAGAAAAAGGGGTTATAGCCTCTTCACAGCATGTGTAAGTTGTTGATACTACCTACTTCCAAGGTTTGGTATGATCCGATAACAAATAACCAGCCCTACAAAAGGCTTACACGTATTCTTAATAGTTTTATTGTGGCCTGTTAGCCTTTGAGCCTTCACCAGTGCTGTTCCACGCTGAGAATATTGGCATGGGGATCTTTAAGCTTTGCAAAAAGAGGAGGAGATACTTAGATCTAATAGACGTGGTATCTAATTTGGTGTTTAAAGTCCCTAAATAGATCAAAGAATTCTGGGTACATTTATCTATGCAGTGATTTTCTTTGGTTATAATTATCTGTATGTGTGATAAATGAATAAGCCACAGCTTTGTTGCTCCCTTGTTCTTGTCCTTCTTTCCTATGCATCTGAGACAGTAATGCAGTCTCTCATTAAGTCACTCTATGAAAAAAATAAGTGTTACACTTAACCTCAGTGCCTTTAACCAAAGGTGTGTTTAGCATTGCTGACTATCAAGCTCTAGTGGCAGAGGAAACTAGCTGATGCCTTTTTTTAAGGGTTAATCTGCTCTAGATCGTAGTTTGATAGCAGTAAATTAGCACAGTTTCTTCAAAGGAAAATGTGCTTGCTAATCTATTGAAATTCTTTCACTGTAGCAACAAAACAGTGAATCAGAGTGAGCTATCAGATGTAATTTATTTGGCATTTCAAAAGCCTTTGACAGTCCTTAACAATAGATTGTTAAGAAGGCACAAGTACTCATGAGGTAAGCAGCAAAGTGCTGCTGTAGGTCAGTAAATGATTGAAAAGGAACAAAAAGGTAGAGAAAACGGTCAGTTTTCAACATTGTGAAATGACGGAGCTGGGATGCATAATGCGTATTATTGGGATCAGCAATGTTTTTGAGCTCTATTTATGTTAACTTCATGGTTTCCTCTCGGACTCAAAATTAATCAGAACTCAGTAAATAGGCAGTACAGTGTGTGAAATTAATTGCTGTCAACCGCACAGTTATGCGTGTTGGAGAGGGTGGCTTGTTCTACTTGCATATAAAACAGATCTAAATTAGTATTATATGTGCTTGGTAACATGTGTCATGTGAAAATGCCTTAGAAATTCTTTATGGTGAGAGCCCCCCTTGCTGCTGCCATCTCAGCAGTAATCCATGTCCCGAATTAGATGTCAAAGCTACTGTTGAATAGTTTTAAAATCATTTGTTTTCACTGAGTTATCTAGCAAGTGGTTCATGTCCTGATTACTCTGAATGATAGATCTAATTAATTGAAAAACCCAAATTTTGTCATTTGAATAAAAACATACAATTTAAATTGTCTGTTTTTAATATGTTGAAGCTATAAACGTAGTCCTCTTTGTATGCTCTTCTTAACAGATCTCTCACTAGAAATTACTTTTTTCCTTGAGGAAGAAAATGCCCTAAGAAAATTTCTATACTGTACAAAAAATTTGTATCAAATGTTTCCCTTCATATCATTGTGTACATTGAGCCTGTGCTTGACACGTCTTAAATGCATGGACTTAACATACCCATCTAGGTTGCCCTCTGATTTTTGTATGGAGTCATATTTTCAAATACTCACAAACACCTGGGGAGACTAAAAAGTTGTAATGAAGCCCTGTGTTAATAAGTTAAAACTTGCTTAGCTTATAGGAAAAGAGTTTAAACTGTTTATAACTTCTTAGATCAGAACAGTTCTGCTCTCTGGATACATATAAGTAGTCTGCAGGGAAATCACAGTTTCTGTCTAACCTAACATATGTGTTCATATTTTGGTAGGATTAAATGGAAACAAAGCATGCTTACTGGTTTGCTTTTATCAGTAGAGCCTTCTGAGGATGATGATCTGCTGTCAGGGTGCTGGCTTTTTTTGTTTGTCCTTTTTTGGTAAGACTACGCTTGCAAGTGTAGTATTGCAGTATCTGCAATTTGGCCAACAAAGCTGTTGAATATTTATGTAGAGACACTATTTCCTTATCAGTGCTGCTGGCAAAAGATCTAGGCTTGTCTTCCTAGAAGGTGATGGAGGTTTAACCTCTCCAGAGGCTTGTTTGTTAGCAGTGCAACTGCTTTAAGTGTACAGTGTGGGTATTTTGTGGTTTATTTATGGGTTGTTTTTTATTTGGTTTTGTTTGTTTAAGAAATGGATGGTAAAGGGTGTGTGATTGTGATGGACGTTGCACAGATGCTGAAATTGCAGTGTGCCAATATGGTCTTGGAAATAGTTTTTGCTTGGATATCTCCTTTGTTGAATATATGAGCCTTGTGTTTTTTAAAAACAGTATAAGCTTTTGAGGGACACAGAGCAACATCAATGAAATGCTGAAACAGCGACATTTTCAAGATTTGTAGGCACTGTAACTGTCATTTTAGTGTTTCTAATGATGATATCAAGTAAATGGCATGAATGAAGCGTAGTTCAAATAATTATTTTGGCTGAGCATTTAATGAAATATTAAATAGCAAATTCCATGAATTCTTTCTTCTCAGTTCACTACCAGCAGAAATGCAGTATTGAGAAAACACGTCTCCTGGAGGGTCTCTAAATGCTAGAGAAATCATCTGCTGGCTGTTCAAAATGGTTATTGGGCCCATGCATGCTCCTGATAAGAATCCAAAGATCTGGCTGACGTTGTTTTTGTAGAGGACGCTAAGAAACTCTTTTAAACCTCACTTCAGACAGATATGTTGGCAAGTAATTTTTAGTTTCAGTGACGGGATTGTGAGCGTGAGGCTGATTTGGAGTAGTTGTTTCAGCAAAACGACAAAAACATTTGGATTCAGAAGTGGATATGAACTTCATGACTGATGTAATTGTACAAAGGAAATGTCTCTCCAAGTACCTGACAGGCATGTTTTCTGTCAGCTGGTTTTGAACTTTTCCATTGTTTCCAGGTAGGTTTAGTTACTGGGAGTGCTGACTGGCTGGATATAGCACTTACACAGAAGTTACTTTCTGACCTGGGTTTGGCTCTGTAGACCTTCAGGGTAGTTACTCTGGCTGTGAAAGTGATGGCACCATCTAATGTGCAATGTTTATTTATGTTTTGTATTGAAGTAATTCTACCTTTTAACAGTTCCCGTTCCCGCTAACCATCAAATTCCACACGAAATGGAGAAGGAAATCAGAACTAAACTAACTTTTAGGTAAG